AAAACAAAACGTCATACACGTATTCACTGAAGCCATCTACAGTAGGAGTCACAGCTGTATGGGCTGTGATGCTAGATATAACTGTGAAGTGGACAGGTGACCTAGATCATATTTAGTTAAGGAAAGGACAACATGAAGAACAGCTGAAGGCAGGCAGGGATGCTGGTGTGCACTCTAATAAATGCAAACCACATCAACATCCTCTTTGCAATAACAAGCGTTTGGGCTGGAAGGTAGCTTTGCTGTCCAGGACCTGACCAGAAGGGGTAGTGGGTTTGCTTTCCTACCCAGGATCGTCTCCAGTGCCCTGCCCCCTTCAAAGGTTAAGAGCATAATATAAAGTACTAAAGAGAGTTTGCTTTTGTACCTGTATCTTCCTGTGTGCACAAGATGGTTAGCTTGTGTGTAAGTGATTCTGCTCCAGCTTCCCAATTTCTGGGACTCCAGGTGTGGTCCTGTACTACTGCCTCTGGCTGGAATTATCTTTTCAAAAAGTAGATTCAGTTGTCTCTTTACCAAACTTCATTTGCTGGGCAGCAAGAAGCTGCAGAACTAGAGAGGTAGCTTGAGATAGAGTCCTTCCTGGTGTGTACAGGGCCCTAGGTTAAATTTCTACCAACTCAAAAAAAAATGATTACTGTCAGTTTTGATACTTTAGAGTATTGTAAAATAGCTCAAAGAAAGTAGTGTAGACATCTGTGAAATTGATGACCATATGGTGGCATCTGGAGAGTACCTGCTAGGTAGTCTATTGAAAGAATAGTGAATTCTTTTTTTGATTTATATTTGTGTAGTGTGTATTTTGGTGAAATTGGATACTGAACCTAGTGTGGTGCCTGCACCACATGGAAATGTGGTCTGGCAAGGGTCTGGGGAGTAAAGAACACACAGAGACACAGGTCACACTTGAAGCGAGAATGCCAATTTTATTTGTTCCAGGGCAGCTTATATAGTGCTCTCCTTGACTAGTGGCCACGCCTTAGCTCTCAGGATTTCCTACTGTAAGCCCATCAGAAACCACTTCCTTGTTATCAGGAACTCATGAGGGTTTCATGCACAGAGCAGCTGTAAGCATAGAAAAACAAGTTTTTTACTCCAGCAGACAAAAGGTCATAGAAAGTTCATGGTCTGAGGGTCTGTGGCTCCCAGCAGCCTAGGGCCAGCACTGAGCTACATCCCAGCACTGCTTATTCTTAATTTTTTTTTTTTTTGAGGTAGGGACTCCCTCAGTTGGTCTTGAACTCACTCTGTATATCCCAGCACGCAGAGCTTGTATCTCTGATCAAGGAACTTTAGACCTGGTCCATACTAGAAATGCAGTAGAGGCCCAAGGTAGTGTGCTATGTAAAATCCTAGTGTTGTCATCCAATGGGAGTCTTTATAGCAGTAGAAAAAGAAAACCTTGCAGTCACGTGCATCAACAGGAATTAATTCTTAGCCAGTAATGTGGAAGAAATTATAGAAGAGTATACTCTATATGACCCCAATTATTCTGTGTTCAGTAATTAAAACCTTTCTGCAGACCTAGAAAGTTGTGATTATGACTAGGGAGGAATGTCGCAAGCCTTCTAAATTTCCATAATTGTTTGTCATGTATTTATTTACTAATTTTTGTGGAGACAGAGTGTCACTTTGTAGTCCTAGCCAGTGTTGAATTCCTCGTACAGGCCAGGTCGGCCTCGGAAGTTAGTGCAGACCCTCCTGCCTCTGCCTTCTGAGCACTTGCTACCAGCTTAACTGTCATTTTCTTGAGGTGTAAGTCAGTAACATAGATGCTTTATGGAACACTCATTAATCTCTACATGTAGGTAATGGTCTGTGCATTTTAAATAGATTGTTGCCTGTCAGTAAAGTTGTTCAAAGAAAAAAGGCCATTTATAAGCTATAGTGTTCTGTTTCTGCAGGCAGGGTGGTGCAGTGCGGAGGTCCACCTTCATTGTCCTTAGTGCTGGGTTGAGGTTTTCTGCTCTGTCGCTCTGTCGTCAGTGGGACACGGGTTTCAGAGCAGGCTGGTTTCTGGGGGCTGGGTTACCTTCATTTTGTTTTACAGTTCTCTGAAAGTTTTCTCCAAGCTCCAGATCTCTGTGTGTGTATTGTTGTCTCCTGAGTAGTCATTTCTCTTTCCTTAGATTGAGCTGTGAGAGTCTAAACTTGGATTCCCCCACCCCCTTCCAGTTTGGTATGTAATTTGCATATTTTCACCATGCGAAAGCTATTTTCTATGGTTGGAAAGACTTTTTTTTCCTACAGTGTGAACAAATCATTCTTTGTTCTCCTTATTGTGCCTTCAAACTGGTACGTCCGGTTTATGCCCCAAACAACAAAAGTCTGTCATCAGAAATTAAAATGCCAGCAAGAACAAAGGCAGGGAGACCGGGAGGAGCTGGGACGAGGCACCCAATGCCCTCTCCTCTTGCCTGCAGCAGCTGGGGTTCTTGGTCCACTCTCCCTGCTGTTGTCCTTGGGCTGTCAGTTAGAAGTGAGCTTGCAGCTTCTTTGAGGCCACAGGGTCCTCCTCGCTGAGGTTCCTTGTCATTTCCAGAGATCTTTTCTCTAGGAAACCCCAAATTTTCAACACTGTTTTGGTATTTATATGAAAGCAAAGTTATCCACGAACACACTGAATGACAGCGTTAGGGGCAGCGGGGAAGCATCCCTGTATGTCTCTCTATTTAGAAGGCTCTCTATCTGGATATGCCTTGCTAACACTCTCAGCCAGCGTTGTTCATGTGTCAGCTGCAAGATTCTTTCCCGGGAGGCTGATTTTTGTGACTTACATTCTGCAGTTAGAATTAAGCTTCTGGTCTCAGCAAGGCGTAATCCGGAGTCATGTAGATTCACAGCTCTCTGTACAGGTGACACGGCACTCCCTCCTTCTCTAGAACCCTAACTCAGGCCGTGAGGTGTGAACAGTGCATTTTAAATCTTTCCTCGTGGTTTGTCGTTCTCACCTGTCGCTGGACATGTGAAAACGTTTAGTTTGGAACAGGGAGTTTGGTTTATTTTGAAAGTTGTTTTATCGTAAAGCTTCATGTGTTTGGATTTTGAATTGTTTTTCTGTGTTTTTTGCTCTTGTGTATTAAATTTAGTGATACCAAACGTTTTCATTATGGCAAGACAGATTTTTAAAACAGTATTTAGTATATCTGAGTACAGAGACGCAGGGAAACGACGTTATATCTTTTAACATTCAAGTTTTGTTTGGTAGAACCAAAACTGAATCCCGGTTCTGGAACATGGAAACAATAGTACAAATGGGAGATTTTGTGTTTACTCTGTAATTTGTTATGGGTGTAAATTTCACAAGCGGAATTTTGCATTACTTTGTATTATACAGCCTTAAGTTTTATACTATTTTTATTAAAATTTTTTCTTAATTGTATGAAAGAGTAGATGTACTTATCTCTTGTCCAGCAAATACTATAATGTAATAACTTACATTAGCATTCTCTGCTTGTCTTTTTCTGTTCCAGTTTTCAAGTGGCAGTGACTTGGAACTTGTCAATAACAATCTTTAATAGAAGTAAACCCTATCAATACTCACCTGTTAGCAAAACCAAAGATGTAGTACATTTTAGATTTCAGAAAAGTGTATGATTGCTGCATTAGATGGAAAGTTTCACAAAATAATCATTCTAGTTTATTCCTGTAAACTTAATTCTGTCCTATTTCCGTAAGATGGAGACTTTGGGGCTACAGTGCTTTGCTCATGGGTTTTGTTATTGAAATGAAAGCCATGAAGGCTGTGGCACACAGGAGCACAGGAGCCTTTGCTCTGTGGGCTTCTCTGAGCCTGTGGGCAGGTGGTGCTGTTGTTGCACTGTAATTGCTGGGATGCTCATGGGACTCTGCACACCGAGTGGAGAGACAGCCGCTGCAGCCAGCCACTAGTCTGAATCACAATGGACTTCATAGGGTAGAAAAGCTCACGGCTCACAGCTCTAAAAGGTACACAGGAACGAGGCTGAAGGCACCTCTGCGTGCACAGAGTTTACTGGAAGATTTGCCAGTTTTCATGATGGATATATTCTTGCTACTTTAAATCACTCGTTGTGCCTATTAAAACATCAATATTATGTGTCTTCTATGAGTCTTTATCTTTGCTACGTCTATTAGAAGTTCTTGAATCTTTAGGGCCAATTTTATAAGGCGAACCGTTTTCTTTGCTATTAGCACAGTAAGCTGGGGACCGTATTAGTGTCACCTCCCACAGTCAGTCTAGAATGTTGTTATTCTCCAGTTCTGTTTTAATTTGCTCATCAGATCAACCAGGATTTGAAAGACTTTTTTTTTTTAATTTGATATATACTAGCATACCTCCTTTTGCTTTTTGGAGAAATAGAATACTGTAGTCTTTATATCTAAGTACAGATTCTGACTTTCTTCAAGGGGGAGTGGGCATTGTTACAGTGTTTGATCTTTGTTTATAGTAAAAGTAATGACTTCCAAAGTTGCTTGCTTACAACTTTATTAACACAGAAAATTGCAGTTAGGGGTATCTCGGAGGCCTTTTTTAGCAGCCTTGTCCTATAATTGCAAAATAATGTAGTTGATAGATTTGAATGATTTTAGAAAGACAACTGACGAGTAACTGAGCTGGGATATTGCAAAGCAGTCTCATAGCTGCTTTGCTCCAGCATGGAGCGTGAGCACAGGGGCTGCACAGACTTCTCATGGGTTAATAGAAATCACAGACTTCCAGAACAGACGTTTTTAAAGATCATACCAATAATGAATTGTAATGTTTTTCTGAAAATGCTTACAAAATTTAAGATAGGGCTGTATTTGATGTGTATAACCTACCTAAAATTCTAATGTATTGTGTGGAGTCATGTATGTATGTATGCATGCATGTATGTATGTATATAAGCGTGCATGCATACATGTATGTATGTATGCTTATTTCCCGAAAATCTTGATAGAATTTAGATGCTTTCATCTGCTAGCATTGTGCCGCATATTTTAACCTACTGAGATGGTTTTTGCTTTCTCTCATGCAGATCAGCGGGGAGGCCCAGGAGCTCTTCTCTGTCCGACACGGCCCCGTCCGAGCAGCTCGAATCTTACCTGCTCCACAGTTGGGTGAGTGTCGCCCTTACGGGAAAACAAACCGTGTAGTTTCTCTTCTGTTGGTTTTGACTACAGACAGCAAGAGTGATAACCCAGGTCTGCTTTGCTGCAAAGGTCCATTCTACCTCCCTCCTCCCCCAAGACAAACCTTTAGTCCTCTCAGTTGCAATAGAAATAGGTAATCTTAACCATTTCAATATGGCTATTCACTTTCTGCTGTGGTTTTGATTTATCTCCCTCCTCTTTGATCTCGATTTGGCCTCTGCCTTTGCTTGCTCTTTCTCCAAGCTGTCTTCTCTCTTGGCTTTCTGGGCTTCCTTCTGGGCTGCCTTTGTTCTGCTGCTGGCCTGCTTTCTTCTGTGGGTATTCCCCAGGTCTCCCCTTGCCTGCCTCTCCCTTCTCAGACTTGCTGGCTCAGAGAGCTTGGTTTTCAGTATTGTGTCTGTTGTAGGTGACTCTGCACTCAGACTTCACTATGGCAGAAAGGTGTTGTGGGCTTTTAATGGAAACTGCACTTTTTTCAGTTTTTATATTAGTGTTTGTTCATTGTGGAAGACAATGAATCATTTTGATGTCTTCATGTATACAGTGTCCTTTGAACCTTTTTGCCCTCCATTGCCTTCTCATTCATCCATGTTTCTTGCAAGTACTTCTTAGTATTGCATTTAAGTATTGTATGTTCTGTGTTTATGTATAAATGTCCAAATGTGTGTTCATATTAAGTTTTCTGATTCCTTCATATTATGGAATCAGAAATTTTTTTCCTTATTGCCTTTGTTTACTAAAATACATTTTTATGTATGCAGAAAACAATCATATTAATCACTTGAGAAACTTTAAAGTTTCTTTAAATAAAATAAGGATATCATTTGAAAGATTATCCTGAAATGAAAACTCTCGATAAGACTTCATGTAGTTGTTAATGATCTAAGTTAGTGAGAGTGGTGCTTACTAAAACTTAGGGCTTGGTTGTGCGTAAGTAATTTTAGGGATCAATGTAACAATTTTTTTAATAAAATGGAAAGGATAGCTGGGCAACAATGCCGTAAGATCATATGATTTCTCCTTGCAGTTCAGCTACGTGGCCTTCATAGCCTTCATCTGTCCTGCTCCTTCCCCCCTCCCTTCTCTCTCTCTCCCTTTCTCCCTTATTCTCTCCCCGCCCCCCATTCTGCCCTGGGGTGAGTTTGCTTGCTTTCCCTCTAGTTTCTCTCTCTCTTTTTTGTCCTGCTACATTTTTATTCTTGTGGACAGTTTTGAAGAAGAAGGCTCTAGACAGTCCTTCCCTGCTTTGGAATCGTCAGGGCTGTCCACAAGAACTTTAACAGTAACAGACTGTTTTTTCTTTCCCGTGTGATTAACAGAAGCAGAATTTTGACTTTTTCATTTTATTTATAAAACTTTTGTTTAGTCAGTTACTAACCAACATTTCTCAGCTTTTACTTGTCTCAAAGTAACTTTTAAGTTTCTTTGTTAGTCAGTAAATTATTTCTGCCACCAGTAGACTTTCGATTTAAAGTACAGTTTTACAGGATAAATGCTCCAATTGAATAATTCTAAATGTATTTGGTTAAATTTTAATATTTGTTTTTATTAAGTGTAATTCATGGGACAGAACTCATAAAATTCGTATTAGGAAATCCAGTCCTCCCTGGGGTTGTCCCCTTGCGCATTATTCCTTCATTTTGGTGGCAGGGCTCTGAAGCTTCCTGAGAACACACGGGAGAGCTCAGCCCATCCTGTGAAATGTCTTTATTCTCCTTGAACTCTTGGTTGGCCAATGACTGCTCACTTAGAACCACATTGTTTCAGAGTTTTGTAGGCATTCGGTTTGAGTTAAGTGGAAGAGTCTGAGTCCATTTTGACATCTTTTTCCTTTTATGTTTCCTGTTACTCTGTTGGGAATGTTGACTTGTTTTTTTGTGTTCTTTCTGGTTTTTCGAGACAGGGTTTCTCTGTGTCACTCTGACTGTCCTGGAACTCACTCCGTAGACCAGGCTGGTTTCGAACTCAGAGATCTTCCTGCCTCTGCCTCCCGAACTGGGATTAAAGGCCTGAGCCTTTGTTTTGTTACAAGTTATAACTATATAACTCTGGTTGGCCTACAACTTGCTATGTAGACCAGAATGTCCTCTAAGTCAGAGAATTGCCTGCTTCTGCCTCCTACGTGAAGGGATAAAAGGCATGCTCAACTATACCCAACAAGTTTTAGTTTTTAAAAACTGATGTTGTTATTGTGTGTAGTGTATGATGTGTGGGTGTGCATGCCCTAGCATGTGTGTGGAGGTTAGAGGACAATTTGTAGAGTCAGATTGAACTCCTGTTGCCGATCTTGAATTGCCCCTTTACCAGTTGAACCTTCTTGCTTGCCCCTCATTTGATCTTCTGTGAGCTGGTCCCTATACTGTGTGTGTGTATGCAACCTGCCTTCCATTTTTACCCTGTCTGTCCTACGAGTTGCCCCAGCAGTGTTCCCTTTTTTGATGGTTTGAGTTTCTTTAATTTCCTTATGATCTATTCTTTTTTTATTAGCCTTTTATACTTTTGCCTCCCCCCTCCCTCCCTTTTTCCCTTCCTCCCTTCTTCCCTCCCTCCCCCCTTCCCTCGCTTCCTTCATTTTTTCCATTCTTATTCATTCATTTGTTTGTTTGTTTGAGACAGGGTTTCATCTCTGTGTCCAGGTTGGCCTAGAACTCATTTTCTACCCCAGGCTGTCTCTTCTTGCCTTGACCTCACAAGCACTGAGTTTCCAGGTATAGTCACCATCCCCAGTGGATTTCCTTTTAGAATATTACGTCTCACTTGCCCTTCCTGTTCCTCCTCACGTTGGGTGTGTGTCCTCATAGTACTTGCTGCTCTTTATTGCTGATTTGTAGTCTCTTATATTTTTAAACAACTTGTTATGTGTGTAGGTACACACATGTGATGTGTGTGCCAGAGCATGGATGTGGAGGCCAGTACTGGCTCTCTCCTTTTATCTTTTCACAGGTTCCAGGTTCTCTGGCTGTTAGGCCAGTGGGTCATCTTGCCAGTACATGATACATTCAGTGCCTCATGAGAGTGTTTGCTGTCAAGTCTGATAAATATCTGTTGAATATTGTTGTATGATGTCTGCTCACAGAAGTTAAGGCCAAATTTCTGTGAAAAATCTGTCCCGTTTAAAAAAAAAACAGAAAGATTGGCATTGTAGTGGTATAATAGTGAAAGAGTACAATAATCGGCACCATAGTGGTGTAATGGTGTAACTGTAATGATCAGCAGTGTAGTGGTGTAACAGTGTAATGATCAGCAGTGTAGTGGTGTATGGTGTAACAGTGTAATGATCAGCAGTGTAGTGGTGTCATGGTGTAACAGTGTAATGATCAGCAGTGTAGTGGTGTAATGGTGTTCCCAATAAAGCATGCTTCTTTGCTTCTTCGCCACTATCAAGTACTCAGCATATTCTTCTAATGAGTTATTTACTTATTTATTTATTTGTGTGTGTGTGTGTGTGTGTATCCTTGTTTGTGTGAGTGTCTACAGATGCTAGAAGATAATGTCAGATTCTTGGAGCTATGAGCAGTCTGATGTAGACGCTTGGAACTGAACTCTGGCTTTGCAAGAGCAGCAAGCACTTTTAATTTAATTGAGCATCTCTCCTGCCTCCTGTGATTCAATACATTCTTAATGAATCTAAATCTTTAGAATTTGGTTTTTAAAAAATCACAAAAAGTATGATGACTGGTGATGTAGTTCAGTTGGTAGAGCACTTGCCTCTGATGGATGTGTGAGGCCCTGGCACCTGCAAAACCAGATGTGTTTTTCATGCTTCTAATCCAGCACTAGAAAATATCGTGATCATTTGTATGGGAGCCTGGAATGCATGAGATCATGTGTCTCCCGAAACGTAGAAGGCTACGACCAATCATTTGGCATGTTTATATCAATTAAAACTTGAAGTACATGGGGGAAATAAGGGAGAAAAAAATCATATTACTAAAATACAATGTGTTTGAAAAATGCTTTAATGAGGCTGGGTGGTGATGGCACATGCCTTTAAACCTCAGCATTCTGGAGGCAGAGGAAGGCGGATCTCAGTTCTGAGGCTGTCCTGGCTTACAGAATAGTTCCAGGACAACCATGGCCACACAGAGAAACTCTGTTATAAAAAAGAAAAATGCTTTAATGATTTAAGAGCTTAAGATGCTAATTTAAAACATTAAAAAGACTCTTTAAGAGTCACATAAAGGTAAATTAAAAAAAAAAACTTGATGCTGATCCTCCTTGAAAATTAGTCTTGAAATCTTATTTCAAGTAAAGTCAAATTTTCTTGTAACCTAAGTAACAAGTTTAGATTTGGAAACTCACTGGTATAATACAGTGTATTCATGTGTATATTTTAACATATAAATCAGGTTTTTATATAGTTATTGTGTTTCTTCTAGTGCTCTTGGTGGCTAATACCTGTTATTCCAGCACTTTGGAGGCTGAGGCAGGAGAATTGCTAGTTTTATGGTAGTATTGGCTAAAGGGGTTGAAGCTGGCCTGGACTATATACTGAGCCCTTGTCGGAAAACAAAAGCAGCCATCAGTGGTGCTTATATTGTTTCCCAGCGGTGGGTAGGTGGAGGCCGGAGAATCGGGGCTGGAGGCAGTTTTCCTCATCACTGTGATAAAATACTGGACAAAAGCTGCTTAAGGAAGAGAAGGTTCCTCTTGGACCTTGGCTCAAGGGTTTCATCCTCAGAGTAAAGTGATGGAGGGAGGAGCTTGAAGCAGTTGGTACATTGCATCTCCAGGAGCAGAGAACACAATGTTAGTGCTCAGCTCGCCTTTTCCTTTCTGGACTGTCTGGGATCCAAGAGTAGGCCTTCTTATCTCAGTAATCTACTCTATATATTCCTTAGCAGATGTATCTCTAGGCTAGCTTGTACAGCCCTTCACGGGGATACCCACAGATGTGCCCCAAGGTAGCCTGTACAGTCCCTCACGGGCATACCTACAGATATTTCGTTAGCCTGTACAGTCCTTTA